GGCTGTCTGCTCTCGTGAAGAGTCAGTCTTGGAAACACCCAGGAGCAGTTCTGCCCTGTCCTATAAAGTTGCCATGGGCTCAATAGCATTGAGTTTGCTTTGAACCAATCCAGTCTTTCTGCTAGCAGCAATTCTTCAGCATGATCATTTTCACTTGCTGCATATGCAACTTTTCACTAATTGAAAAGGCTTGAGTTTGCATTGAACTTCAGACTTAACATACAGATTCCATGTAAGGGCACATTAAGAACTGATCTCCCTCAACACAAGAACACTTTGTTCTAATAATCCGGCATTCTGTGATGGTCACCTTCCTGACACGATCACTGAAGACAAAATGGGTGCAGACACAACCATGGAGAAGAAAAGGCTTGAAGATAAACAAGCGGCCATCCAGCTGAGAAGCAACAAAATCCACATGGAAGAAGCACACCAGCCTGTGTGATCATGAAGTGTCGATGGGATCAGGTATCAGGCATCTAAGACCCAGAACAAAATCATACCCAATGTGAATGGGGACGTGGGGGTGGGTGGGGGGTGGGGCAGGGCATGAAGACCCCAAGTCCATCTGTAGACAATTAATTGGACATTCCCTCACAAAAGGGTCACAAAGAGATGAGCCAGTCAGGGCACAGTATAGCACCAATGAAATACACAACTTTCCTCTAGTTCTTTAATGTTCCCTTCCCCCCCATCATGACCTCAATTCTACCTTACAAATTGGATTAGGCCAGAACATGCACACTGCTACAGATAAGAGCCCACAACACAGGGAATCCAGGATAGATAAACCCCTCAGGGCCAACAATGAGAATAGAGATACCAGGATAATAAGGTGGGGGGTGAAAGGGGGAATCGATCACATAGATCAACATGCAACCCCCTCCCAGGGGGACAAACAACAGAAGGGCGACAGAGGGCAATGTAAGATATTAAAATAATAATCAAGGGTCCATGGGGCAGGGTTGGTGGGGGAGGGGGAAAAACGAGTAGCTGATATCAAGGGCTCAAATAGAAAGAAAATACTTTTAAAATGATGATGGCAGCATATGTACAAATGTGCTTGACACAATGGATGAATGTATGGATTGTGATGAGATGTAAGAGCCCCCAATGAAAGTATTTAAAAACAAAACAAAACTGATCTTTTGTAACCTGGGAACTTCCTGGTAAGTCCTGGTCTTGAGACTGACTCTGTTTGAAAAGAATTCTACTAAAACTCTCCAAGAAAGGACGAGCAAGTTCTCCACACGTGGTCATGGGACGACCTGCAGACAGCCAATTCAAGTGAAGCACAGCGGGGTGGTGTAGAATACTGTGTGTAAAAGGAGAACAGAGGGTACTAACTTGTTTGAATGTAGTAAACACAGGAGGTGTACTCAGGAAACTGGGATAGCTGCAAACCAACTGGTAGTGGGGATGGGAAAAAGACGTCTCATGGGATATTTAAAACGATTAATTCTTGAATTGACTATTACTTCACAAAAAAACCTTTAAAAAGGCACCTTGTCTTTTGAATGCAGGTATCTAAGTGTATTTCAGACTGAAATTCAGTGATACTTCAACTTACCAAAGGAAGCAGGGTGTGTGCTAGCTGTTCTCTTTCCGACATAACCCACTTCAATTCGCACCAACACTAATTTTTATCCCAGAAGCATTTGCTCCCTTTCTTCATGAATGAGGGTATATAAATAGAACTACAGATGTACAGAAACCAACATGGTAGAGGGAGTTAGCGAGTACTGGCTGTGGTGTCATTAGAGTGGAACTCCCTTTGTCCACAGCCCTGGAAGAACAAGTGAAGTTCACTTGCTCACTGATTTGCTGTAGTATTAGGTTTTTGGGGACAAGCCCCCCACCACTAGTCATGGGTTCAGTAAGCACAATTGTACGGTTGAGATATATATATATATAATATTTAAGTCATCGAGAGCATGAAAGGTAGAGGAGAGATATTATAAATGCAGTCACACACATTACATGGTAGCATTGCTCACCTCAGCCTTGCTTGGTGGTCCATGTGGAGAGAGGGGGAAGGGAAGGAGGACAGGAAAGGGAACCAGGGAGAGGGGACTGGAGAGGAGAGGAGAGGAGGAGGAGCCCAGCAAGAGAGACCTCTATCGCTAATCCAGGCCTATATACCTTTTGGGGGCGTGCAAGCCCACTAATTACAGGTAAAGACATACGTCACAGGAAGGGGTTGTTGCACTATAGGTTATACAGCAATGAGGGGGTGGTCTAGGGACATACACGCAATAGGAAGAGGAGGGATTGGGGGTATACATGTGACAAGATGGGCGGATCCTAGATTTAGGATGGCAGCTTAACTTTGACCAGTTCTCTGCGTCTCCAGAGGAACCATTATCAGTAGGGTGTAAACCCCACCTACAGGAACCAAGCTAATGGTCGCAAACCTTAGCTCATTGTCCCCAGCAGCAGGGAGCAGGCCCACCCCTTGGTCTAGTGACTATCTTCAGGGAGGGTGACCTGCCCCATAACTTGCCAGAGCTGATTCGGACTCATAGCCACCTTGTAAGGGAGTACAATTGGCCTGGCAAGTGTCTGAAGCTGGCAATCTTTACAGGGTCAGAAAGCCTCATCTCTCTCCCAAGGAGCAGTTGGGGAGTTCAAACTGCTGTCCTTGGCCACTGTGCCATCATGGCTCCTCCTGCAGTGAAAATTCCAAGTGACTCAGCAGGTGTTTCATGTACACTAAACAGTTAAGACTGCTGAGAGCCATAAGCGAAACCCTCCCTTAGATACCAGGTATTTCTGTAACCTTACTGTTTGGTAAATTGATCCACAGGCACAATGCTTGGTGCCTTGCCTGGCAGCCGCATCCCTGATTCTTACCAGTTCTCTCTCGGTGTGCAGGGCCATCATGTTTTCACGTGAAGGGACAACGCTGTTTTGGTGTATTAAAGTGTGCTGTAGTTAAGCTTGTGAATCAACTTGGTTGGCTGTCCAAGGTTCTCAGTGGCTTGGCAGTTCCTGTCATGACTGAGATCTAATATAATCATCTCGGAGGAAATGTGCAGTGAGTAGCCAGTCAGTTTCTTCAGGGGTGTGATCTGCTTCCAATAAATGTGGATATTCTAGAAATGCTTGCCTGCTTTTTGCTAGGGCTGCATCCTGCATTTGGCTTGTCACCTGACCTCTCGTTCTTTGGAATTGAGCCAGTGGCCTGCCTTCTTATTGCCCGTTGCTCCTGGGAGTCATCAGTTAGTTACCTGTCACCTTACCTGCCAACGCTGGATTCATTTCCCTCTGCAGCCTAAAGCCTACATATGGTCTGATCTGCGAATCTGCCAATCTTGAGTTCACTGCCCCTGCAACTACACAGTCTGGAGAAAGCTGCAGCCTGCCATCTGACCCAGACTCAGAACTTGATCACCTCTCCAACAGAGTGACCTCTCTGTACATAGACAGCTAACTATCAGTCTCACAGGGCTTCCGTCTCCACAGAACCCAGCCTAAGACATGCAGTGATTAAGATCAGGACAGAAGTCACTTACCCAAAACATTCTCATTTTAAAAATCATTTTATTGTCATTTTATGGTTAAAAAAAACATACATGGCATGACTATAAAGTAATGAGACAAATTTTCCTGTGTGGCTGTATTACCGAGTCTCATTAGTATATAGTCACATCCTGTCTCAAGCTTGGAAGAAAAATATGCCTTGGATATATGATTATCAATTTTGTTACTTAAAATTTGAGTGCCAACAGAGCACTAGGCACAGATATAACACAGAATTGTACAGTCTCTATGTTTTAGACTATATTATTTACATAGATTTCTCAAAGATAACATTAAAGCATGTATTTACAGAACTTTAGACAAAAATAACAATACTGGAAATCAGCACGTTTCTGTCTAGCAAGGAGCACCTTTTCATGAATGAGAGGGTTATGCAGAACGTATTGTGCTATGAGCACTTTAATTCCATTACCCAGCAAGTCCATGTTATTTCATTACATAGTTCTATAAAGCTATAAGAGGAAAAACCTAAGTGGGAAGCCATCAATCGGTTTCATTCGGTCCAATACATTTAGAAAACTCTGCGGAAACCGACGCGCGAGGGCAGCGCAGACATATTTACATTTTGTAGCGCGGAAGCTAGAGCCAGGATGCAGTTCCACGAGGTGGAAGAGTGGTGACTATGGAAATCAGTTTTTCTAAACCAGAAGCTTCGTCTCTTTTCGAACAATATCATTATCATCGGTTTATTTTGAAATGAAACAGGCACCTTTAAAACAAGCATTGATGCCACACCAAGGTTATTTTAGGAAAAGTCACGAGATTTTTTTAAATAACAGATAGAAAAGTCTCCAAGTGATGCCAACCACCGTAAGTCCTCTACATGTGGGAAGCCTGCAGGTCAGAGTGGAGGTATCCACTATCTCTGGTGGGGTCTGGTTGGCAATCCCAGTCTTGGGAATAAACCGCACCACCCTACAAAGTAAACATGACTAAAGCCGGGAGAAGTCTCTCAGGTGTTCATTTATACACGGCAGCGTACTGCCAGGGATCCCCTTTAGGGAGGTACTAGAATTTTCTATGATGCTTCTTGAATGGAAATATTAACTGAGATCCTTCTACTCTAAGAATTCATGCCAAACTTCTGGCTACATTGTGGTTCTGAGAAAAAGTCAAAGAAACACAATGCCCATCAGTATGAGCTCTCAATTAAATGAGAAAATGTGACTGAGGTCTTCAAGCGACCAATGGCAAAAGGCATTCTGAGATTTAAATGCACCAATCATATGCTGTATCTGGGTTTACTCTGCATTATAACAAATTGAAAACACATACTAGTCAGCCATCTCATACAAATTTGTCAAGTAAAAAAGACCTCTTGTGTCCATCCTCTAACGCTTTATCTATCGACATCTGATCAAGTAGACAGGTGACCGCTGTCCTTGCCTGCAGCTGAATTTATGAGGGTATTTTCTTAAAGAATGTCTTAAGCATACTCAGAAATGAAGGACTCAAGAAAATGTTCAGTCTTTTATTTAAAAACTATAAACAGTCACCAAAGTAAATAAAGCCATTCTATAACAGAAACGGTTAGGTCTATATTTTTTACTGCACATCCTAAGGACACAGCAGAAATGGTGGTTGGGAAGCCGTCCACATTTTTGGATGCTAATAGAACAGGCAATAGGCAGTTATAAATGGATACATTTCACACTGGGGGAGAAAAGACAATTTAAGGAAGTGAGCAGTTTCTGAGCAGGAATGTGGTACAGTATTAAGAATGGAAGAATAATACAATAAAATTCCACACTATATTAAGATAGAAAAAGTAGTGAAGAAAATATCATACCTGCACATAATGCATATATAACACAGGAGAAAACCTGTATAAAATTCCATGTATTTAAACCAATTTACAAATACAAAAAATTCTGTCCAAGCTCTGAGCTTGCACAAGACAAACGTTTACAGTGGATACATGTTAGGGAAAACCAAAAAAATACCTTCAAATAGTTTTTCTTCTACAAAAATGACATGAGATATATTATTCCATACTCTTTCAGCCAGCAAAATGAGTTCTACAAGGTGTATAATACAAAAAATAGGGGAGGGAAACCAAACAAAAACCCAAATAAAAGGAAAAAAAGAAAAAAAAAAAAATCACAGTTCCACAAAACTGTTTCGACTTTACAGCATCAGTACCTTTGCAGAAGTATTTACACAAATGTAAAGAACATTCAGCCACTGCGTAGAATATATCACAATTACTTACAACTGACAGGAAAGTCTAGAAAACTTGAGAACCTACCAATAGTGCTTCTCGGACCCCACAGAACGCACTTCCAGTGGCTGCAGTGGCGTGAAAGGTGTTCATTCTATTCACAAATATTTACAAGATCTATTCAGACTGGTAAATTTTTATGATAATAAATAAGTGAAAATATATTGGCTCAAGTAAGAAAACCAAGCTACTGATTTCTAAACAAAACACACAATCCATAGCTAGATATTGGTAGCCCCCTCTGAGATTAGGGGTATAGGTGTGCTGAAACTTTTTTTTTAATTATTCAAACCAGCTTAAACGGTTTTGTAAATATAAAAATGTGCTCCTTTTTGGATATAGATAAAAATATTTAATGCTTCTATTTCATTTGCTCATGTAGGTTTTACAATATTCCATGTATATTCCAATGTGGATGGTACAGAATTCTGATCCTACCAGTCTCCATCAGGACTCATCAGATCTCAGAGGCATCCTGCAGATAATCTGGCTGACAATCCCACAGCAGTTCCTTTTTTTCTTAAAAACTTTTTTGAACAGAGAACACAGGGATTCACTCAAGAGATCAGAATACGAAGCTTCCTCTCAGCATCACGGGAGGAGATAAAAGAATTCATTCTGTGGTCTCCGTTCCATTAAGACTTGGTGCTTGCTTCAGTAACAGTATGTGAAATGTGTCTGACTTTCTTTGAGTCCCCACTGTGGAGGTGGGATCATTTTTCACTGCAGCATTTCTGAGTCTTTTTCTTGTTCTTTACTCTGAACTGTAAAATTAAGTTCATAAAGGCATTTGGCAAGGGTGGAGGAAGCTTCCATGTTACTAATGGCTAGCACTGATAAGTTGTTTTCGTGTCTCTTTAGCAACCTGAAAAAACAAACAAACAAACAAAACACACACATAAGAAGCTGACCAGTTACAGCCTCCAGGCTCTCTAAGGTGGGTGTGACGACTCTTTATTACGTATTTTACAAGTTAAAAGCAAAGTAGACACAACACATGCTTCCACATCCACTGTACCATGACCTATCACTCGGAGAAGAGGAGGAGGGAGCTGGGGGGAATCAGTTTAACCTGTTCAATTTACAACGAGAAAACCGAGGCACAGGAAGAACAGCCAACTTTCCAACGAGTGTGAGAGTGAACCAAGCATTCCTATGTATGCTGTGTCTTTCCTCCATGGAGGAGAGTTATCTGAGAGTTCATAGCTTCCTTCTGTTCTACACCTGCCTTCCATCTATGCCCCTAGAACATCTACAATGACTCACAGATCCAGAGAACAAAGCATCTGGAGAAGAACAAAATGGCAGCTTCTACTAAAACATGGCTTGGAACAGACCATCACATTACTCTTTACAAGAAATTTGAAGTGTGTGTGCACGCTTTATCATTTTAAAAGGAAACTATCTACCCCCAAATGAAAATACAGATGTGGTTGTATTTACAAAGTTGAGAGATTATACAAGTGAGCATCTTCTAAGCAAACAAGTGAACAATGCTGAGGGACGAGAAGACTCGTGACCACCTGTCAGGTATGGAGGGAGGGATGCAAACGGAAAAAGTATAGCTAGGTTGGTTGGTTGGTATACTGGTGTTTATTGCAAACTGACCTGAAGTTTATTGTGTATTTGAAAATTTTGATTTTAAATCATTAGGGGAAAAAAAAACAGCTAGTGTAAGTTTATCCACAGTGACTTGAATAAAATAAAACCGGGGGAAAAAATCAGAGAAGAAAAGAAAAGGAGATGAAGATCCTGAGTTTCTACATGAAAACCACTGCACCCAAGCGGCATGGAGAAAACAGCCCCCCGCCCCCCAGTCAAAACCACAACTTTACTCATTGGCGGTAGAGCAAAGGCATTTTACTCACAAATAACACTTAAAAGATTGAGATCGATTCACTCACTCACTCACACACTCTCTCACTCACTCACTCACTCACTCACTCACTCAATCAATCACTCACTCACTCACTCAATCACTCACTCACACACTCTCACTCACTCATACACTCTCTCACTCACTCACACACTCACTCACTCATTCACTCACTCACTCACTCTCAATCACTCACTCTCTCATTCACTCACTCACTCTCTCATTCACTCACTCACTCACTGACTCACTCTCATTCACTGACTCACTCTCTCACTCACATTCACTGACTCA